TCGATCTTCGTAGCATTGAATTCATCCTTTATATCATGTACCGTATACACGAATGGGATACGATGCCGGTAGTAAGTCTTATTCAATGGTGAACCGTACACGTTGTACGCTGACGAGCAAGATTAATAGATCTCCTAGGGAGCATGAAAATTTCAGAAACGAAATCAATCTTACGAACTTGCCACGCTTATCTGCCTATCTTTCCTACTTACGAAACGAACCTGATCACACACCCACGCGCTTCTGTCTTCATTAACACCGCACCAGCTATTAATATCAGACACGACGTTAACTCGGAGCGAGTTGCTCCCGTCTATCGTGTCCAACGACTTTCTCCTCTCCGACGATGATAAAAATACTCCTGTTCGTAATACGTTACAGTTATGTTTCTCTCTTGGAAAAAAACCGAAACAATGGCTGAAAAATTACGCAACGCTGTTATTATTCGGTGTGTGGTATTCGAATACACGTAGGAACGATCGGGATTTCACGAGAAAGGAACGAGCAGAGAAAATTTTAAAATAACAATAACAATTATCGTTATTATCGATCGAACACCGTCTTTTGTTTTTTCGTTGGCCGCAGGGCCACACTCGCGCAAACGTCATCGACGTCTCAAAGATGTTTTATACTCTTACCGCGGCTATTCCGCCTACCGATTGCATTCCGCGTATTCGCTATTTTTGGAGATAGAAAATTATTTTCGCAATAGCAGATATTGCTTCGACTTGAGTTCTTAAAACGACATAGATCAAAACGTAGAAATATTTGCCCGCTTTGCATCGCAAAGTGTAAGTTTGAGAGACACGTAACGCGACAATAGGTGAAAGGTTCAGAAAAATCGTACATACGTTTCGTGTAATACGAATGTAATACAGAATAATAGTAGAAGAAATATCGGTACATCTGTACGAAACTTTTACCATCTAGAAGTACAGCCTTCGCTAACGTTATGTCAAAGTTTCGTGTCAGTTGGATCGTTAGAAGCCGAGTTATAATACTCGACGTCAAAGCACCGTTTGTTCGTGACTCGTGAGCCGGACAGTTGGGTTTTGTTGCGCGATAATGCATCGGTTCGTTATGCGGCGGTTGTGACTGCTTTTTTGCACAAAAACAAGTTACAACGTTGCACCGTAGTCGCCAAATTTAACACTCTGCTGTTACTCTTTGTTTCCACGGTTCAAATTAAGGATGGAAGAAAAGCGTTATGTCACGACGTTTCAATATGCAAAAGGCAGCGACGAGAACGGCCGTTCGACGCATTCTTGTTAGCCGTGGAAATCCTTGTATCGCCGCAGAAGGAATACGTTTCGAACGAAGTAAAATATTTCCCGCGGTAAAATACTTTGTAACGTACGAATCTGTTAAAGATATGCTCTCTTCCTTTCTTCGACCAAATTACGCCTTATACGTCTATATTCGATACTTTTAACGCCAATCTCCCTTATTGCATTTTTCCATGCTATCGTTGGGTAAGTGAATGTCGTCGATGATTGGAACGTAAAAGAAAATTATAAATACCTACTCTTTCCATCGCGAGAAGATTGTCGGTAATAGGTGCGGATAGGAACGGTACTCGACGATCTAGCGTCACAGGAGATATACGAAACGTAAATAATCTATCAGAAATCTCGTCTCGCAAATATTTAGAAAAATAAGCGAATATTCGTTAAGGCATGGTTAAAACTGACATTACAGGAAACACGACGACCAACGCATGGTAACATTCGATCAAAGACAAAATCGAAACAATTTCATACGTATAAGAGGGAAATGCCTACCTCGAGGGTAGAAGCGGTTATCCTTAAGACGCTTAAGGACCACCAGCTTGCGAGCTAACGACGGATACGGTAGTCTAGAGTCTAGATTTTCGCGTCGTCTCGTCGCTGAGCTCGCAATCGGAAAAGCGTCACGACGCGAGAGACCGATCGATGACATTCTTTTGTGTAGACGCTCCTCTCCTTTCTTCCGCTTTCTTTCGCTTTCTTTCGCTTTCTTTCGCTTTCTTCCCCCCGTCCTCTGCCGCTCTTTTTCCAGCATACGACTTCGGTTTAATCCGCTTCTTCCCGAAATCCGAGCAAGTCGAAACGAAAAGAAGGAAGAAACGAGGATGAAACGAGAAGAGAAAAGGGAACACCACGGATATCGAGACCTTCTTACAAAACGCACTCCCGATATTCGGCGATCCACTCGTTTTTTCTTTAACGTGCAAAACGTTTTATCTGCGTACGTGTCCCCTACCTTCGATCAAATCACCGTCTTCTCCTTCCCCTATTACCGATAAATCTAAATACGATACGATAAATAGAAACAAAAAACATGAATTTTTGAGTCGATAACGCATAGATAATCAAAAAGTGCTTATTGTACCTATCCAGTGATAGGTGATCCGTTGTATAATGACATGCAAAAACTTTCTGTCGATCGATATCATCGACTCGCAAATATTTTTATCTACGTTTCCAACGCTGTAAAGTCCGATAACGCGATAAAACTTTAATCGCGCGGACAGTAATTTCGAATCTGTGTAACTACGTTAAATTACAGGAAATTTCCTACAACGAAGTAAACGCGATACCTTAGCTGTATAATTGAGCAAACCAAATGTTGAAAAGGTATAAAACCGAATTTTCATTCTACCTTCGTTGCGCAGAAATTATTCTTTACGCGTTAACAAGAATTAACCGAGACAAGGGACGAGTAATTAAGAGTACGTGATCGTGTAGTCATACCTACGTAATATAGCAGCTACGATATTAATCTACCATCATAAAAGAGTTATTAGTCACTTGCGAACACAGGCAGAAGCCA